ACCATCTTTTACAGTGTCTAAAACACATTTTACAGTGTCTAAAATACTTGTCTCAATATGGCCTTTCCTATTAATCTGGTGTCATACACAGAGCTGGTGTTCCAGTATTATTTCTGCTCTGCAGCTGGGGAAACAGATTGGAGGAGATTAATGACTTTGCCATAGTCACACAGCTACCAAGTGGGCAGGCCTGGGGTTTCTGGCTCCAGTCACTTGCTCTTTCTAGTATACCACACTGCAGAGGGTCTTCTGAATCTGTGCTGTTTAGTGTTGCTAAAATTCTTGTGGAAGAATAGCATGGGGGGGGGGTGCCAGCCAAGTGGCTCATTGGTTAAGAGTTGGCTTGGGAGCATGAGTTCTGAGCAGCAGGGCCGCCGGTTCGGATCCCACATGGGCCAGTGATTTTACAGCTAAGATGGTGAACAACATCTCAACCTGGAGTTGGGCTGCTGTGAGTCCACAGCGACGGCGTAGGCTGCAGTGGGGCTGCAGTGGGTTGCCATAAGCTACCATGAGTGGCCGGCAGCCAGCGTGAGCGGCCGGCGGCATGAGCTGCCAAGAGCCGCCATCCAATGGCCAGCGACCCATCTGCCTCAGCTGGGAAGGGCACAATAATCATAATACCAACATGGGCCACTGAAGCGACGTCCTCCACAGCTAGACTGAAGAACAAAAGGACAGCAACTTGTCTGTTCCCCTTCCCCAATTCCCCAATAAAAACCTTAAAAAAAAAAAAGAATAGCATGGGAAAAATATCATTGTTCCTGAGAAATAAAAATAGCAACAAAGCATGCATAATGTAAGCACTTAGAATTGGGCGAGTTCTCCAAAAAAGAAGACAAACAAAGCAAGATGTTCTGAGTCATTTCTACATAAATATTCATATGCTTTATGTGCACAATACCTATGTATTGTTCCTCCTATTTTATTTCTTTTTGCTTGTTTTTCCCTTATTGTTGAATGGTGGATTTAGTATTGTAGGCTAGTAGTTTACTCAGCGCTTTTAAGATTTTATTGCATGGTCTTTTGGTCTTGTTAATTTTGGAAACTGTTGTTACTCTGTTTCTTTCATTGCTCTGCATTTATTCATTGGAATTCTTTTGTAAGGAAGAGCTTTGCCTTCTCTTTTATTCATTCATTCATTCATTCATTCATTCAATTATTTAAACTAGTGTAGACTCATGGATATTTATTATGTTTGGCTTTTGGGAACTCTTTCAGATTGGCTCCTATGCCCTTTCAACAAGTTCACATCCTTTTTTGAACACTTCCTTATTTTCTGGCACCATAAGGTGGCCCAGACTTAAGTTATATTTTCCCTATTCCAGCCCTGGAATCAACCAGTTCTCCAAGGGCCATTCTAAAATTAAACTTTGTTAGGCCGTAAGGACTCATGTTTTGAAATTTTTCTTTTGTCATGAGCTCATTTTTAGAAGGGCTTATTTTATTTTATTTTATTTTTTGGTGTGAATCATTTGGGTTATGTGTTACGGGAGTTTTCTTCAGGAGTGGTCTAGGTGCCCCCAGCTCATGCCATTTTCTATATTAATTTCTCAGGCTAGTGGTTTGTAGTTCAACCATTACAGTAAGGGTACACCCCTTCAAGGGTGCTGGCTTTATGTGGGGGTCTTAGTTCCAATTCCCCACCTTCTGACGGCTGAAGGCTATATATCTCCTCTTTCTGTGTAGGCATTTAGGTTATATGACCTAACAAGCTATTAGGCTATAGAAACTAATACCTTTCTTACAGTACCTCAGTGCAGGTATTCCCTTCTTTGTTTCTTTATCCGTCATTTCAGCTATGGCCCTCATATTGCTGGAACCAGAAGTCAGTCTCTTTTTTTGAAAACAGATAAGACATTGGGTAATGAGCAGAACAAGGCAGAGCAAGCCAGTAAAGGCCATCACCATAAACCTGACTAATCTGATGTAATTTAACAGATGGCACGGGTCAGAAGGCTGGTGGAGCCAATCCACAGGGTCCAAGGAGATGGACACAGCAAGATGGGAATAGGTTAAATCCAAGAATCTCTCAGGGCCAGAGATCTAATCAAGAGCCGCCTAGGGCTGGGAAGGTCAGAGAAAGTGGCCTTCTTTACTGGGGGCTTCTCTGATCCTGATTATGAGTGGGCAAGCCTGCGTTTGCAAATATCCCCTGCAGGCATACCTTGTATAATTACACTTTAAGGCCACAATTTGTGACTGGGAGCCTAGAATATTTTCTTACAGTTGGTATGTAGAGTACCATTTCAGGCATACATTTTCAAACTTACTAGGAAGTAGAGTTAAAAAAAATTTTTGTAAATGCTTGAAAATACGTGGAGAATGTAGCCTCACTCCCCACCTACCACCCATGGAAAGGGCAAGGCCCTGTTTGTGCTTCTGTCATTGGTGGCCAGGGGGCTTTTTTGTTGATCTGCAAAGTGCATTTGAGTGTCTGGGAGTCCACCCTTCCTCCTGGCATCTGAATTATGGGAACATTCAAATGACAAAGCTGTTGTTGACCAACCTCGTATCTGAGTTATAGACCTTTTGTTTTCCTTGTGCCTGCCGGTCATTTCTCTCGGGATGTCTTTCCATCGACTCAAATGTGTCTCACACAGAGCTCTTGCCGCCCCATCTCCTGCAAATGTGCTCCTTCTTTCAGTTTCCCCTACTTTTTAATGTTTTTTATTCGCCCAGGCCTCTAGGTCCAAAATACTCCACTTCCCAATTCGTTTTCCCAGTTCTTTTAATTCTTTTAATCTCCACCTCAGAGTTACCATTCCTCAGGCTTCAGCCCCATCCATAGATAAGTACTGATAATCTGTTCATACTTATTACTGTGCTGGGTAGTGAGGAATGAGAACTCTAAAACATGGTCATTGTGTTTAAAAAACTTAATAGCTAGTTGAGGAGATAACTTACATCCACTAAAAGTGAATAGCACTAGACAGTATATAATTAAATGCTAAATTGGGTGACGCAGAGTTTTAAGTGTTAGAAATTGGAGGAAAGAAAGGGATAAAAGGAGGGCTTGAATTGTAAGAGAAAACTTCATTGTGGAAGTGGGATTTGAACTGAGTCTTGAAACATAGGTTGGAATTGGGTGGGCTTTAATAGTGAGAGGAAAGCATGGACAATTAGTGAGTATACTGAGCTTGCGTTTTTTAAAGAAAACTCGTGAGGCTGTTTATGTTACAGGAATTGGAGAGAGAGAGGTGGATGACTGCTTTGACTTCGGCTGTAAGACTACCAGACAAATCTCTCAAAAGTTGCATTTTAATTTTATTTAGTCACCAATTCAAAAGTCTCTAGAGGCTGCCTGTTTTTGTTTTTTGGTTTTTTTTTTTGGCTCACACTGCTTTGGTATTCCAGGTCCTCTCTGATGCTTGACCCTTTCCTCATTCGTACTCATGCTTTTTGTGCCTATAACATGCTGCTTTTTGTGTTTTGACTCTGTTTTTCGTTTCCTTGTGTATTGCCTGCCTGATTTCTGTCCATTTCTTCTTCAAGTCCCATCCCATCCTATGACTTACTGCCTCTTGATAGCCTCTTTGATGACTCCCATTTACTGACGTATCTTTTCTCCCTAGATTTCTCTTGAAACTATTTTCTGTTGGACATAGTTCACAATCTAATCATTTACCTTTTGTTTTCTGATAATTTAGAATTACTTATAGATTTATTTTCAACAAGATGCTAAATTCTTTGAAGAGTTAGATTATGTTTTAAACTTTACTGTTCCTCTTTAGTACTGTATACTACTCTGGGTATGTACTCAATGTCGAATTGAAAGCTTTTAAGGAATTTTTTTTTTCAAACACTGATAATTTATCATATTAGAGCTAGTTCTTTGTGTAAATGTGCCTATTGTTATGCCTGGCACATAGTACTGCCCTTAGCAAATGTTAATGGAATCCAAATTTTTAGTGGATAGCAAGGCAAAGAACTTTTTTCTGCTATTTCATGGGAAGTAGAAAATAAGAGCAAAAGTACTGAATCCAAATTTTTTGAGATACTCTTTCTTCTATCTTCTTTGAGCCTCTCCTTAATCTGTGTCCTTGAGTATGTATTATTCATTTATCTTTGACATCTTTTCACTGACTACCTCATGTAGCTTTTCTAAATAATTTATGTGTGTAGATGGAGATAAATTGTGTATGTTAATTCAAGCTTAAGAGAAGAGATTGGAGTATTTGAGAAAGATTAATCCTTGTTAAACTCTGTCTAATTGATCTGTGTTGGCACTGTTCCTGCCTGAGTTTTAAAATTTTAATAAAATACCTGTAAGTGAAAAAATCATCTGTTGCAGTTGGAATTGAAGTTAAGACATTTGAATATCCATACAACTAGATACTGAAGTGAACTAAGAATGCTTGGTTTAAGGAAACTGGGTCAATTTAAGAATAACACTTTTGTTGGGCTTTTATTTTATTACTTAACAGCCTCTTAAAAAATCTGAAGTGACTTTTAAAACAAAGTCCTAAATTACTATTTTAAATAATATAATTATTCTCCTACCTCCTTTAAAAGTTTGTAATATGATTTGAGAGTGTTTGGTTTATATTTATTAACATCCCAATTTTCTGAGTGGTGGTGATGTAGTTTCAACAGGGCTGAAAAACTACAAGAACTGAATATGTGGCTTTAGAAATGTCCTAGCATTATCTTACTCTTTGTTTCAGAGACTGATTCTTCAACAATGTATGTAGGTAATCTGGAGTTTAATGTTGTGTGTGTGCACCTGGGTGAGAAAGAGACAGAGAGAGTTTTATTTCTTTGGTTAACCAAAATAAAGTAGTAAAAAAAGCAATTGTTTGAGGCAGGCTGGATCTTCCTCAACAGCAGTTTGTATTGGTTTAAATAATTTCTTTTAAGGGGGTGATAATTTATAAAATGTTAACTTCTAAGAATGTTCTTGTTCTTAAGTTTTCTTATAATACAAGAAAGTGCTCTTTACTAATGGTGTCATAGGAGTTGGGGTTTTCTTAGGCATTGACTTTTTATTTGCTTCACAGGTGGTTTGTATTCGCTCCACTTGGAATGCTCTCTCCCCAAAGCTGAGCTGTGACACGAGACCTCTCATTTTGAAGACCCTCAGTGAACTGTTTTCTCTGGTTCCTTCCTTAACAGTCAATACAGCTGAATATGAGGTATGCGTTTGGAGCTCAATAAATTGTCTATTTCTACATTAGAAAGAAACGTGGAAAAAAATATTTGTGATCTTTTGCCAGAAATCCTTTAGCACTTTTCGTTCTGAGAACATGTTGATATCTTTATGGACTCTTAGGAGTAGGAGGATATCCACCCTTAACAATGCTGTGTCTTTAAGATTTACAGAAGGAAAGAAATGTAGAGGGAGACCTCTCTCTGTCTGTCTTTCTCTGTCCCTCTCTTTCTCCCCTTTTTTACTCCCGATCTCCTCCTTCCCCTCCCTCCTTGCCTTTCTTTCTCCCTCCATACTTCGCTGTGTGTTTAAATAATTTCTTTTCTGTTAACTACTTAGAGTTTGTTTGCATGTAAGTCAGAGTTGAATGTAATTTTCCCAAAGCATTTCGTTGGTCACTGCCATCCCTACTCACCTCAGTGCCTTGAGTTTGCCTAAAATGAAATCTGACGTCTTTATACCTAATCAATATGGCCTTTAGAATCTGGTCTCACTCTACTTTACTGACTCCTGCACTCCAGGAAAACGAACCACTTGTAGTTTCCTTATCTGCCTCCAAACTTTTCTGTTTCCTTTTCTTTATTCATGTTGTTCTCTCGATCTAGAATTACTTTCTTTTTTCATCTCCAATTTTAAAAATCTATTTTAGGATGTAAAGAATTGGTTTAACTCATCCTATCCTTTGAGAAATGTTTATAAGCAAGAGTCTATTCCTCCCCCAATTTTTTATCTATACTTTTCTAAGAACAATTATTTCTATTTTATGCTACATGATATATATATATATATATATATATATATATATATATTATTTTCTCCAATAAATTACAGGCTTGTTGAAAATAGAGTCCATGTTTCAGTTAGTGTATTTTCTGAATTGTTTTCCAAAGTGCTTGGTACATTTATTCACTGACTCAAAATATATTTATTAAAATTGTACTAGGCCTTAGAGATACTAATAAATAATAATAGATACTGTTTTAAAATACCTATTATATTTTCAATACTCTTCTAATTACTTTATACCAATTAGTTCTAATATCTGATAGGAAGGTATTATTTTTAACTTTATAGCTAAAGAATCTGAGGTTTTGAAAGGTCCATCCTTTCATTAAGCAAATATTTATTTAGTACCTGCTAAATGCCAGACAAGTAACTTGACCAACACTGTAGTTTCTAAGTGAAAGCTGGTGTCTAAACCCAGGACTTTCTAGCTCCAGAGCCTGTATTGTTCCATTACACTGTATTGTCATTCCCTGCCTTCCAAACGCTCAAAGGTTGATAAAGGAAGTAGATATAAGCTATAATAATTATAATAACATTTGATGAATATGGTTAATCAAAGGGCTATGAGAGTGTGGTGGTGGAAGTGACTAGCACTCTTAGGACTTTAAGGAAACATTATTGAGTTGATGCTATTTGATTATGATCTGAAAGAATTAATAAAATGATGCTTCCCATTGAAGTTTGGGGAATGGAATATGCAAAGGCAAGGAGGTGTAGAAGAGACTTATATGATTTAGAAGGGCAAGAAGCTAGATGTGGCTGAAATGAAGGAGACATTGGGCGTTGGAAGATACATGGCTTTTTATGCTCAATTATTTATTAAATGTTTGTCATTTGAGAAACTGGGTTTTATATTCTTTATGTCCTGGGCTTTATGACCCAGGCCTTTAAATGGAAAAGACAGTCACTGCTGTATGGAGTGTAACCCAGTAGGAAGGTACACACACACACACACACACACACACACACACACACACACACGGACAATCACACCAGATGCTAAACTGTGCCATGCGCCATAGGGCCACCTGCAGTAGGGGATCAGGGACAGTGGCATGAAAGAGAGGAGTGACATTTGTACTAGGATTTGAGAGGTCAGTAAGAAATGGTTAGGTTTTAAATTTAATCATCTTAAAATCTCTCATGATGTATAAAATATCCATGTGTTTCAATGATGAGTCTGTTTCTGAGTATTTCCATTTTATGAATGATGGGTAAATATAGAATAAGTCAGTTACTAGTGATATCATTTTTAAAATGATTTAATTTCCACTACCTGCTACTTTAGATTATTTATGCTCAGTTTTATCTTTGTCTTAAAATTTTATTCTGGTGTTTGTTGATGTTTCAGAATTTTAAAGTTCAAGTCCTCAGCTTCCTCTGGACGCACACCCAAAACAAGGTACCGTCACAAGGGGTGTTGGTGAAACAGAACCAAACTGGGAAAGAACTGTCAAATAAGGTTTTTAGAATAATATATATAACTCCCCTGACATGATGGCTTCTTTTGTTAAAAAAAAAGATTTTATTGGGGAATTGGGGGAGGGGAACAGCGCTGGGGAATTGGGGGAAGGGGAACAAACAAGTTGCTGTTGTTTTGTTCTTCAGCCTAGTTGTGGAGGATGTTGCTTCACTGGCCCAAGTTGGCACCATCATTGCGCTCTTCCCAGGCGAGGCAGATCAGTCGCCGGCCTCTGGACG